GCTTGAGTCTCAGGATCAGTGGTTAGGGCGCGTATATCGCCAGGGATGTGTAGCTAGATATAGTGTAGTTGTGTACCCTGGTAGGTCTAGGTACTCATGCCCACTATATGTGCGTTTTGCATGTTGCCTACTATTCAGGTTGAGACAACCCTATAGTCTAGTGAGGTTCTTTTAATGTGTATATATATATATACGGACTACTAGTTATTGTTGGATTGACTAGGATGTATACATGTATCGGATCTCTGCTTGGACTGTAGTATAGTAGAACTTGTTTGTGGGCCTGACCCACCATTATTTTTTCAGGAGTTCGTTAGGAGTAGAGGTTGTTCGTGCTGAGTGGGGATCAGTCTACTTCATTCTTCCGATGCTGCATAGGAGTTCCTTTATGATTCAGTTTCCTGATTTAGACAGTTATTGCTGTCATTTGTTTAGTTTGGATTTTCTAAGGGTCCACACAGTATGGATTCCCGAATTGTATTTTGGAGGATCAGTTGTATCAGAAGAGTTTATTAATTAATGGAAATATATTCTGAGGTTTATTATTAGATTATCATTTTAGTTTCTTATCAGCATTTTATTTATTCTTCTTTATTCTTTTGTACTCTGTGTTCGTTTATTGCCGATTTGTTTTTGATATCCTCGGGTATTCGGGCGTGGGCCTGGCCAACCCGCATTCGGAAATTCAGGGGTATCACACCAATGTATATGACATGGTTTATATAGATTATAGAATGACCTAATCCCTTTGAAAATAAGGTAAATCTCGTGCATAGGATTTGGTATAATTCTAGACCAACTGGGAAATTAATTAGAAAAAGGAAACTAAAGTTGTATTGCAAACAGGAGGTCTTGAACCGGTTCAAGGAAAGCTGAACCGGTTCAAGTTTGGCAGTGTGTCAAACTTGAACATCTTGAACCGGTTCAAGGAAACTAAACCGGTTCAAGGTTGGCAGACTCAGATTTCGAATTCCTTCAGCCTTGGTTCATTCTACGGAAATTGTATACTAACATGGAAAGTGTAGAATACCCAACCTTGTTCATATTCCTTCCTAATGTAGTGTCCTTACCCTTTTCATCACAAACTCTTCAAGGAAGGTAAGTTTGAACTCCTTCCTAGTTGTGGAATCCCTGTTGAACTTGATGACTTGTAGAACAAGTAATTTAAATTACAACTCAACTTGGACTTGTTATGTCTTCGATAATTGCTAAAAAATAAATAATATCTCACACAATAGGCTCACTATCATCAATGTGGATTCCCCCCCTCTTCTTCGGCTGTTTTTTTTTTTTTATGTCAATTTATTTTTATAATGTAAATGCCACTTATTGTTGTTCTTCAAAATGTTCCAACAACTGTCAAACTTAAATTTGGTGTTATTTTGACGAGCAAATAACTCTTTGGCTGCTATCATCTAAAAAAATAAAAATAAAAAATTATTAGAAGACAAATCTTTAAAATATCTACCAATTAAATTTAATATAATAAATAACTTACCCTGTACTCATTGTCTTGCCCACTAGGGTAATTCCTTTTGATCTGGGCCATGCATCCAGAAAATTTGGTAATCATTTGTTGCATGATGGACCAACGATTGAAGCAGGCGATATGATTTCTTTTAAGTGTACCAGCACCACAAACGTGTTGCTCAAAACTTTCTTGAATTCGGATCCATAACGCTATCTTTTGTTGGTCTCAACCAATGATCGCATCAGTGCTAATGGCCATGTACGCATAACATAAAGCCTCATCTTCAACCGTGGACCAATTAGGAGGCCGAATAGCCTTTTGCTTTCTTGGAGGTTGGGAGTACTAGATTGTGGCACTTCAGTAGGAATGTTGAAAACTTGAGAAGATTGATGAGACAAAAATTGAGATTCATCTCCAACGAATTGAGATTATTCTCCAACAAATAAGAAGGGATCAAAATTATCATTTGATGGTTGAATTAGGAGTTGTAATTGTAATATGGTGGTGGAGGATCCATGGAATTGAACTCGAGTAAAAAATATAACTAAAAGATTGAGAAAATGACTTAGTGGTTGTAATTGTAGGTTGAAAACTAGAGAAAATAGGTTGGATATGAGGTGAATAATAATAGGGGTTAATATATTTATAGAGGAAAAATGAAAGTTTTTTTAAAAAATAAATATATATATAAATAATGAATTTTTAAAAAAAAAAAATTCAAAAAATAGGTTTTTGTGCCAATATAAACGTTAAGACACTGTTTTGGTCAGCCAAACAGTGCCTAAAACGGCTATATGTCGGTAGGAATATTTTAAAAAGCAATTTTTTTTTAAATAAAAATACTTTTATCTATTTTTTTTTTTTTTACTTTTTTTTGCCCAAAAAAACCTTTAATCTGTGTCAACCAAACAATGCCTTAACGGCTCTTTAGTTCAATTATTTTGAGGAAAAAAAAAAAAGAAAAAGAAAAAAAAACAGACCAAAATCAGCTAAAAAACTGATTTTTTCCTCTTTTTTTTTTTTTCTTTTTTCCAAACAAGCATGCCCTTAGGAACAGTTTTTTGGGCTAAATATCAGTTTTGGGCCAGAATAAAAAAATTAAAAGAAAATGGATGCAGGCCCGCGGCTCGCTAACAGGGTCGTGGAATACCGCGACCTATTCCACTATCCAATGGGTGGGTCCCAATTTTTGGCTACCCCATTGGAGCAGTCCAATCTTCAAACCTGGCCTAAAATTGCCGAATTTTTATCCATTGGACCTACTCTTAGTGAGGAAACAGAAAAAAGAAAATTTGAAACAGAAGAGAAAAATTAGAGAGAAAGCAGAGAGGAAGCCGAGAGAAGACAGAGAGGTCTGAGAGTTTGCAGAGGAAGTCGGGAGCTTGAGGCTTTGATGATCTAATGAGGAAAATTCTTTTTCAGGGTAGGAGTTTCTAATTCACATTTTCTTTGATTTTTGTGAATTAATCTCCTTAATTTTTGTTATAGTATGCTCAATTTGTATAAATTTCTTGTAAAATTGCTTAAATGTTGTATATGAAATATGTGATTGTGTGTTATTTGGTATTTGAAGGTTAAGCATGCTTAATTGATGAGAATTTATGCCCATTATGTCTTTAGTGCTAAATTTTGTGATTATAAAATATGAAATATATTTTTGAATTTTTCTTTTGTTGCAAAGCATGTATATTATTGAATATTGACTTGGTGAGCATGAATTTCTCTAATTGCACGGCATTGAAGTATATGAGACATTCATGCATGACATTGGGTAGTGAAATGGAAAAGTTGATTTGAAATGAAAGAAAAAGGGACTTTTGGGAAAAAGTTTTGATAAAAATGGTTTGCAAAAACCTGGTCGTCTAGGAGTTGCCTAGGGTCTATGGCGTTAATGTGATAAAGGAAACTAGGGAGACCGCCCTAACGTGGTTGAGTTATCTGGGCCCAAATGACGCCATGGAGTTACCATGGGTTAGGGACAGTAGTCAATCTTTCTCTCGTGCCGTCATGGAGTTGCCACGGGACGGGTTATGTTAATGGTTTGAAAAGTGATGAATGGAAGGGATTTTTAAATAGGGAGCGACATAGCATGGCATTGCATTCCATAGCACGACATTGTTTATTTATGACCTTGAAATTGTGTTGTATTTTTCTCGGCATGGCATGATCCCGCTTTCTTTTATTCCTATCCATTGTTTGGATTCACGGGGTCACAAGAGGTGTGTTTTAGGCACCACCTACTATGCAATTTGCTCACCCCATCATTTTAACATTTTTCAGATCACGGAAATGAAGTGGCGGATGACGTTCCTCCATAGGTTTGAATGGGTTAGTGGACTATTTGATCATCTTTTATATTTGTGATCTCATTTGTTTTGTATAAGCCTTGGGATGGCACGTACATCATGTATCAACCTTAGAACTTATCATAGTGCCCTTAGATGACTTCGGGTCAGGGTAAGGACCCGGTTAGTGATTCGAACCCTCGGGTTCGGGTTGTTACATCCGCACTCCAAGATTTTCACAAAGATCTTCGTATGCCCCGTCCAGGGAAGTCTCGTTATCCAAGTCTTCCTTCGGGAACCAATGAGATGTCACGTCATCAGTTACCCGATTAGCTTCCAAGACACATCAACAACCACCTTCCAGATATGCCTTTCAGATGTCTCTAGTAAGTGATATCCATCTATTAATAAGTCATATCCATTTAACGATATATTGACTACTTTTCTTCCAATTGTTTACTATTGCACCAATATGCATGCAATTCACACTTAAACTCTATCCATTTAGATGTAAAATATCTTTATTCAATTCACACTAAACTCTACTTCTTTATTCAATTCACACTTAACTCCTTTGCATTACTGATTGGAGTCTTGGAATTGGTTTATACTTTAAAGGAAGATGTCTCAAGGCATAACATTCAGCAGAAGATATATATGAGAGTTGAAGTTTTGTGCTGGTGTAACAGCCCTGAGGAAAGTGGTTAAAAAGTGTCTGGGGAGGAGCATCTTTAGAAAAATTAGTTTCAGTTTGAAATATTTTTTTTTCCCGATTTTTTTTTCAAGACACCAATTTCATGCAATTGAATATAACAATAGTACCATAGTAATATATATTTTTTTCAAATACCATGTTCACCCATTAACACTTAAACTGTTGTTCAACAAAAGAAAAATGATGTTGATATGGCACCATTGTTGATTATTTAAATACAGTAGTTACATTGTCATAATCAACAAATCATTAATAATTTGTGACGGAAATGAAATTATTTATTGAAAATCTTAAAGAAGCCTTGTCTTAGTTGTGAAAAACAAAAAATTTGACTAGTGTAAATTCACATGGAAATGCAAAGGTTCACACCATATGCTTGTAGACAGCTGAAAGAACCATGAATTGAATTGATTGGTGAAAGAGAACATATAATTAAAAACCAAAAAGCATATAATAAAAATATCTTTCTCTGTTTATTATTTTTTCATATCGAGGAAAAAATATTTCAGTAGTATTGACGAAAGATGCCATTATAGCAAGCTTGTGAACTAACTTCTTGATACTAAAGCTTGTTTAACACTCCCTTTCTTCGTGTCTTGTACGAAATTTATAGTTTATTAAGTCCATTCACGCGTGAATCTATCAAAGCCACCATCTCATGACTAAGATTTTTTTTTTTTTTTGAATTGAAGCTGAGATTTAACAAAAGGCCAATGAACAAAAAGTTAAATTGGTGATGAGTCATTGAAATATTAATCAATTTGTTCTCTCTTCATCAAGCAAACAAACATCTATATGTATATATATATACATGCAAATGCTCAAAGCAGATTGTAGAAGTGTTATCAGAAATCATGGGCAAACGAGCGCATGTGCTAGCAGTCTCATACCCTGCACAAGGCCATATCCGGCCCCTCATGAAGCTGTCACAACGGATTGCTGATCGCGGTGTCAAGGTTACATTTGTGAGCACAGAGTTCATACATGATGTAATCTTGGCAGCATCGCCTGAGAAAGGTGAAGAGCAAAACCGGATTGAAATGGTATCGGTCCCTGATGGACTTGAACCAGGGGATGACCGAAAAGATGGGAGAAAGCTGATTGAATCTATTTCGAAAGTGATGCCTGGTCATTTGGAGGAGCTGATTGACAAGATCAATTCATCAAGTGATGTTGATGAACAGATCACTTGTGTCATTGCTGAAGTAACAGTGCCATGGGCTATAGGAATTGCTCAGAAGATGGGAATTAAGAATGCCATGTTTTTCCCGCCTTCAGTGACATCCTTTGCCTGGTCTCTCCGCATTCCAAAGCTGATTGAGGGTGGAGTAATTGATAATAATGGTACATCCTATTCTTAATCTGCTTTAACAGAACAAGTAGTTTATGTATAGACAACAATATACTGCTAGATGTGAGTCTGTGTGTGAGAGAGAGAGTTTTCTAAAATATTTGACAAGTAATCCCATGTTAAAGGCCTAAATCTGGATATAGAATTGGTTTAAGTATTCTTTTTATTATCAGGGAAAAGGAGGGAAGGGAAAGGAAAGGAAAGGAAAATAATCGTAAGTGTGTTTAGACGAAAGGGTAGAACATTCTTGTACAAAAGCCAACAATCCACAAAATTAATTCAACAAAGAATGTCATTTATTCTTGCTTCTATCTATGTATTTATTTTATTTTATTTTTTGTATTTTTTGTTTTCATAGGAACTGCCTTGAAAAATGAGATGATCAGTCTGTCACCAGACTCGCCTGCAATGAGTAGTGCTGATTTTCCATGGAGCTGCCCGGGCAACCCAACCACACAAAAGCTGGCATTTGCATTCTCAATTTCCTCAGCTGAAGCTGCCAAAACTTCAAACTGGCTTCTTTGCAACTCAATCCACGAGCTCGAGTCTTCGGCTTGCAAATTGATCCCAAACCTTTTATCAATGGGTCCATTATTACTGTCAAGTGATGGCCTTGAGCAATCCACGGGAAGCTTTTGGCCAGAGGACTCAACCTGTTTAAACTGGCTCGACGCACAACCTAACAAATCAGTCATTTATGTTGCGTTTGGCAGCACAGCAATCTTCAGCGCTCAACAATTCGAAGAACTGACACTAGGACTTGAACTGGTAGCGCAACCAACCTTGTGGGTTGTGAGATCAGACCTTACTGATGAGTTTTCGGAGAGATTCGGTGGTCGTGTGAAGATAGTCAAATGGGCACCTCAGGAGAAGGTGTTGGCTCACCCTTCTATTGCTTGTTTTCTGAGCCATTGTGGTTGGAACTCAACCCTAGAGGGTCTGAGCATGGGTGTGCCCTTTCTGTGTTGGCCTTACTTTGCGGATCAGTTTCTCAATAGGAACTACATTTGTGATGTTTGGAAGGTGGGTTTAGGATTGAAAGCAGAGGGAAATGGAATCATCTCAAGGCATGAGATAAGGAGACAGATGGAAATGCTGCTGTGTGATGGCAGTATAAGAGCAAATGCAGTGAAGATGAAGGAATTGGCTGGACAGAGTATCAGTGAAGGTGGTTCATCATTCCAGAATTTCAATCACTTCATTGAACAAATTATGGGTTGATTTATATTGCTTCCTTACATAATTTGCTAAATAAATATTATGAAATTTATGAAAATTTCTACTGCTTGTAATGTCATGTGGGCATACTGAGAACTTCATTATACTCCAGTTTTTTTTTTTCTTTTTCTTTTTCATTTTTAATTTTGACATCAAATTTTAAATCATTCTATGATTGAATATTCCTTTTGTACAAAATAATAGTGAAAGTTAATTCTAGCATTAGTTTTGACCTCCCAACACCCTGTGTGACCAGTATAACAAAATGGCCTTTGTAAAATTTTAAATCCGTGCTTGCATAATAAAAATGAGAGAATATATTTAACAAGTTCAGATTCAGTAAATACATAAAATAGATAAAATTGTATATATCAGGAAAAAAAGAAAAGAAAAGATGATTGATTTATTTCTGAATTCTGAACCAAATAAATTGAGATAATCAAAGTCAAATACATGAGTCGACAATGAAGCTGTATATCAGTCTTATTTTTTCCGCACACCTCTTTAGTATTGCCTCAACCTTCAGTTCCTTCTAAAAGGCTTTCAATTATTGAACAAAAATAATAATAATAAGATTAAAAAAAAATGACCTATATTCTAAATAATAGTAATAAGTGCTAGTAATCAATAGTGATACTGATAGTATTAATAATAATAATTACTATTATCAAAGCCTACAATATGGCAGTCGTTCTTCTTCCGTTATGAAGTCTTGCCAAGACCCATTCATTCATCTGCAGATAATATGAAGGCCAAAAAAAAATGCTGTTAGTATAGTATTTCATAGTACCACAATAATTAATTAACAATTAGTATGGGACTGATTAGACATCCACATAAAGCATAATTATAAACTTGAGAATCAATGATAAAATACAAATAAATTGGCTTCAGAATTCAGGAAAGAAGATATCAGAAAAAAATTTTATGCAGAGAAATAACACAAAATATAAAAAAATCAAACATTCATATTCTACCAAATTCAACCCTAGAGTCAAATCGTACAATATATAAAATGAATTTCCAAAGAGAATAAGCGAATAATTTCACTTTCTTACTTCAGTCAACATCGTAAATTTATTAACTTAAAATGTCGAGCATGTCGTGACTTTAAAAACAAAAAACACACACACACACACAAAAAAACATATTGTAGTTACCTCTAAGCTATTGGTATTAGCTGGCATTAATGGAATTCTATACTTCTCCATATACCAATCTTTTGGAAGTGTTCCAGAGAAATAAATAAATTTGAGTTTGAAAGCAATGACATCTCCTTTCGAGTTACATATTATCTCTTCTTCCCCGATCGAACTCCAATAACTTGTTCCATTTTCAACAACTGGAATTTGTTTTCTCTCTCCATGGAAATATTCATCCTTGTGAATAAAAAAGTACCACTCTTCTTCACAATTAGGGTTCATCGTCGCTGTAAACAAAATAAGTGAAATCAGTCACATTAATAAATGATATATATTTTAGCATATATACTAAAAGATCAAATTAAAATAAATTTTCACCCGAAAACAACTTTTTCATATGACAAGAGTCTCGTGCACTTCATATGCATATATTTTCTCAGTACAAGGGAATAGATTCTAAAGATGTATGGGCATAGACCACTTAGGCATGAGTCCATGTAGTAGGGTCACTGGGAAGTGAGATCTTAATTGTGGAATATACACACACACACTGTCAATATATCACTTGTTACAATCTTTTTTAGTCATGTTGATAGACCTACCTTTCAAGGCAAACCACTTGAGGGCTTGCTGGCTCAGCAGTCAGCACATCTCTGATATTATACGTCCACTTCTGTGATTTGCATATCTAAATTTTTAATAAAAGAAGGTACATATGCATATTAATATATATATATATATATATATATATATACACACACACACACATATAAATCAGATGAATATGAGAATGTGATTACCTATATTTTTAGGAGGCTTATTATAAAGTTGGCTTGCATGAATATCTTGTATAACATCAGCTGGAATAGCCCCACCAATTACTTTGTTGACAAGATAATACTTCACCAACTTTTCATCTGTTGGTAAAAATCTATACCCAGTCGGCATTTCTCTCACAATGACATCTTTGGTGCCCATTCCGATTGAAAATGCTTTATCTGTTGATACTAGAACACAATTGCCATTTTCACACAGACACACATATATACACGTACAAACGTGTATGTTTGTCGATCAACAACTCCAACGAACTTGAAGCATTTGAAATTGGAAAGTTTTTGGAATCCTAGTACAACTTGAACGCGTATGTTTTGTTTGTTGTGTGATGAGTAGTAGTGTGTTTCTTGGGATCAAAGTCAAACACTTGTTGTAGCTTTATGAAAGAGAAATTTGGAGAAATTGACTTACCCAAAAAAACAAAAGAGAAATTTGGAGACATTTGTGATATTGTTGACTGTGTCTCCCAAAGCAAATATTCCTTTTAGGACTCAATTTTTATTATTTTAAAAAAATATAAATTAATGTAAAAAAATTATTAAATAGTCATGAACGACGTGGTCCACTCAATCAATTCTCGTTTTAGTATTTCAAAATTAGCTTTTCAAAATCTAATGACATTATAACTAATCTTGAAATTTCTTCAAAATTAAATGATAATATGAAAGGAGACACATAATATATATCCTAGATTCCTAGGATGATGTGAAAATTGTAGCCATAGCCATTGATTTTGTTCCGCGGTTGCTATATTCTTTTTGAGATAATTTGATTTAGGATATATAAAAATTGGATCAAATGGTTAGTGTGGTCATTCAAGAGATGCTACAGAGTTTCATAATTTAATTCTTGTAATTCTTTATATATAAAATAGTACTTATTTTCATTCCTAGAGTTATATGTACACATTTATGTTTCCTAAAGAGACGTATGCTTAGGGTTGTAGATGTAGCTCTATGAACTATGAAATTCCTTTGCTGATATTGAACATTCATGGGAAATTTAAGCTCTAATGCAACTTTTAAATCCCAATCACAGAAAAAATATGAAATTTTTTTTTTTTTTTTTTTTTTTTATAAGTGAAAAATAAGATAGTGATAAAAAATCCCAAAGCATAGTGAAATGCATGCATGCATATATACATGAACTATATAATGTTTTAGTATCTATATTCTGAAAGTTAAATGCATTCTTTTGTTTATCCATTACATAACTTATAAGTTCCCTTTTATTATTTAATATATTAATTATAAGATCGAACTAGAACTCTCTTCGATTCATAATGTGGATCCATACAACCAACCTAATACAAGAATTAAACATGAACATATGTTTTTTTTTTTTTTCGAACGTGAGTTCAAGCAATCACGCACTCACAAAATTATTCTAAAGAAAGAAAGCGTGTACCATCTACGCATATTCCATATCTACTTCTCTCTCACAGTCTCACACCCTTTCTTCCTCTCTAGACTTCCTCTTCCTTTTAACATCTCACCTTTTCAGAAAGCCTTTCCTAACCCAAGGTAAGTTTTTTTCTAATACGCAAAAAACTTGGATTGTTTACATTTATATATGAATATAGAAAAGCCTTGGCCTTAATTATATGATGCAAACAATACAAGAGGTTCAAAAGACAGCCTCATATGTTTGTGTCCCAACTCAGTGGCAAGCAACAAAGCTTTACCCAAATTAGAAGAAAATGGAAGATCCTTGATATGTGCGCGTATAAACATATATAACTATATTAGAGAGAGAGAGGCTCAAGCATGAAGCACCGCATGTTTATATGGATATTTGTATTGTTTCAAAAATTTATGAGATTCGAGTCACAAAGGGAAGGCATAATTAATACATTTTCATAAATATTATATGGGTAAGAACATAAATGAACTAACTAAGCCCAAACTGTTCGCGTGCTCTTCCCTGTAAAGTTTCCAGAGCAGAAGTCCTCACTAAATTCCTCATGGCTCAATGGTAAAAAGGGGCTGCAAGGAAGAATAGAGTGCTTTAGAAAAGCCACAGATTCAGTAATCAATCAAAATAGATGGAGAGATAGAGATATATATATATACCATGTCAACACTAACTGGTTTCGCATCGTCTACAAGTATCTCAACTATTGTTCCAGCTTGATCAGTCTGTGACACAAGAATAAAAAGGAAAAGTAAACTTTAAGATCCAGGGCACCCACAAACCAGAAATTAGAGAGCATACACGAATAAGTGTTCGTGTGTGCTGTAGTAGAGGCCAGTACATGCTAAAATGCAAAAGGATTCAGCCAATCTGCAGATACTAAAATCAAACTTTCGAGCTAAACCCTATAACTCGAAGTTACAAGTAATTTTAACCAAGTTTTATGAACCCATACAGGATTTTGTATAATATATGAAAATTTTCAGCTTTATAAGAAAGGTACCAACAGACCTTCAGATTATAAGATTGAAACTTAGAACTAAAAACAACAACAAATAAAGCAAGAGACTTACTTCAATCTCATTCATCAGTTTCATGGCCTCAATGATACAAACAACCTGGCCTTTTTGGACCTTGTCTCCTACCTGGAGAAACACAACAGAAATTAAATAAAGTAACATATGAACTCTGTCTTGAAAATATAAAGAGGAAACTTAGCACGCAGTGTTTAATATATGGGCTGTTGTTACATGCACAGTATATTACGAGTTTCATTATCCCCACATGAATGCTTGCTACAGAAGTGTCTTCCAGGTAAGGTAACTATTTGCCACCAGAGCTTATACAATAAATTGAGAACTCGGAAGGAAAGTATTGTTAATGTATCAAGAGAAAATTAAGAATAAAATCATTTAGAGTAAAAGTGAGGAAGGAATATTGAAAAAAGTTTGCAGCATCCATAGATATTCACAAGACTATAACTGCATGAGAGAGAAATGGAGGTGGTTCTTAAATTATTCAAACTATCAAGAACTAGGGTGAAAAAAGCAATCATTCTCATAATTAAAGATATTCTTAAACAATTAAACACCCAAAAAAATTAAAAAGAATATCGCTCTAGAAGAACAGAAACATCCATTATTCAAACTTTTCGAAGTAATCTGTTTCTCTTTTTCACACCCAAATGCAAATACATAACATACATACATACATGTGTGCACAAACATTTGCATGTATCAGCAATTGAGAACAATAAAGACAATTACCTTCACAAAAGGAGGTGCCCCAGGCGCAGGGCAACGGTAAAATGTCCCAGCCATGGGGCATTTCAGTGGGGGATGGGATGAGACTGGCTTTGCAGGGCTAGGTAGTGCTGGTGCTGAAACTGGAGGTGAGGGAGCAGGACCCACAGGAGCAGGAGAAGTGAGCTGTTGTGGAGGCAGTTGAGATGGAACCATAGCTTGCGGAGGAGGGGAATGCATCATAACGACAGGAGCTGGTGGCTGTGGCAAAGCTTCCTTTTTTCTGATAAGGAGTTCACAATCCAGCTGCTTTAGCTGCAGCTCCATTATGTCTTTTGAGTCAACAAGCCTGCCGAAGAAAAATAATATCAACTTTAAAGAGGAAAATAGTTCATTTCTGATATATATTTTGTCAGAAAAGAGTATGTGGATACAGATGAAAGGAATTTTCACGCACTCAACAAGGTCTGCCACTTGAGTCATAAATGCCGAAATGGATGATGCATCTGGAATGGTGCTTTGAGATTCAGATTTTTGGGCAGGTTCCTCGGACTCTTTCTCAGGAAAAGGTACAGAATTTGAGGATTTCTCGATAGCAACCTTAGTAGAGGAGATTAGTTTCTTAGAGAGGCACAAAGGCAACATCAAAAGATAAAGGTGAAGAAAACAGAGTTGAGAGGAAGTATGGGAGCTGTAAAGAACCTATAGCAGTGGGCAGCTTACCTCATTAAGCTGGGCACACACCTTAAAAGCATCAGATTGGTTCCACCTAGAGCCCTGCCCCAAAAAAAAAAAAATAAAATAAGTTGCGTGAATATCACAATCAAACAAATAGTGCAGCTACAAAAAAAGGTTCCAAACAAAATATGACATAATTTATCCTTAAGTAGATGACATAAGAAAGCGGCAGAAAATTTTCAATGATACTTTACTTAGAATATAAACAGATCAAACAAGACAAAGATTCAAAACTTTTGATTATCCTTGCATATTCTAGTGTACATGTCCAATTTTTTCATACGATAAGATATTGGCCCATACAGCTTCATTTATTCTCTTTGTTCTAGTCTTGATTTGTTCTGGTTTTTGTTTCAGTTTTACTGTGTACACCAGGACAGCTTGCCAGCCACCACGTGTTTACTACCTAGAACCAGCATGCATAATATGTTATTGAGTTGGACCGGAACATTAGGCCATTGTAAAATTGTGTTTCTATGTCCCCACTAACAACTTTTGGATTCAAGATATAAAGTGGAAGAAATGATTCAGTATTCAGGATATTGCTAGAAAAATAAACTCCTCATCACAAAAAAGTTTCAGCTGTCAATTTGAAAAACAAGTGTCAACTAATACAACAAAGTGATGTAAATGGACATTTTTTGCTGAATGTCTCTGAAGGCCAACATATGTTTTGTTACGAGAATGGTCTTGTCTAACATTCTGCAAACCATACTCTCAAACTCAAGAGAAACTTTTTTATGGCAACCCAATTTCCAAGTCCAGTATCAAAATGTGTTCTCTAGAGAAACTTCTTTATAACTCTAACAACAAGAGGCCTTTCAGCGTTTCCAAAAAAATTATGCAATAGTTCCTTTCTGCACTTAGGTTCTGAGGTGTTTTCCTTTACGTTTTTCTTGATTTTTACCCATTTCCCCCTCCCTCCCACCCTTTTTTTTTTTTTTTCCAATCCAAAATCATTAGTATATTCATCCAACAATATTAAGAATGCTGGAGGATAAAGTTAAAATATAAAGATAGATTTTTAAATAGCCAACAATAAAATTGGTCAAAAGGAAAACTTAAAAATAGAAAGAAAAAGATCAATACACAGGGCATTGTTACATGAAGTGGCTGTCTTCAGAAATAAAATCAACTTCTCATTTAAAGCAGCCAATGCTTTAACAAATTTACCAATTGAAGGCCCCTAATGCTATAAAGGCAATACATATCATCTAGCTTTAACCCAAGCATCCAGTTATTCAACTCCTCAAGATGAGAGAGATCTTGAACAGGATGAAATTAGTGGTCTTTTTTGTTTTTATCAAGACAAACAATAACCCTTTATTGGATTAAAGATATGCCTTCATACTGCCCTTAAGGACACAAAATTCATGATTTAGGTTCATTAAACACATACACTTATACTGCTATAGTACAATATATAAAATCCACAAAGCATTGACATATACTTCGGAAATGATTAAGAATACCAGTGAACAGACTAGTAACAAATTCAGCGCTGGGGGTTCATTTTGTGCAGGCAGAGTAATGATTCAGGATCTAATTATTAGTCAAGAATGTAACTAAATATGACGCAAGTTGAAATGATTCGAGTTTCCATTCTACAAAATCTTAAAATTAACTGTGACAATCAAAAGTTCCCGGGAAAAAAAGATGTATGAAGTTTCAGAAATTGTCAACAGCTAGCAGAACTTCATATTAACACACACAATGGAAATTAATCTGAAATTCACTTCATATTAGGAGGCCGGAGCTCAAATTAGCAATACAAATCATTGAGAATCAAGTATACCAACAATTGTTCACATTTGAATCAACCAGAAATATAAACAATTTTTCAAATTCAAATTTTTAATCAACCTGAAATCTGAGAGAAGCTGAGTGATCTGATGACGACCCGGCTAGCAATGTCGGCTTTGATTTCGGATCCGACCGAAAGGAAATCGAACAGTGCCGTTGTTGTTTTGGATTCGTCTGCGAAGCAATGGATGTAGCGGAAGTCTTAGGGCAAGGAACAGATAAAGAGGCCATAGATGAACACCGAAGCAAAAAACAGCTCAGATTTGCGAAAATGGAACAGAGACTCGTAAAAATCCCTAAGATTTGAAGCTCATAAATGGGGAAGAGAATGTTATAGTTTTTGTAAGAGAAAAGGGCCGGTGAAATCGGAGAGATCAAGTGAGGAAACCTAAGAGCGGCGAAGAGATCAATGACAAAGGTGTTTAGAGAGAGAAAGAGGTTTGGCGATACATACGAGAGAGATAGAGAGGAATGGCGTGTTCACTTTCGTTTGGACAACAACAATGGGTTTAAGAGAGGGAAACGGCGCATTTCACTTTCTTTGGACAGATCATGGATTCTAGTGAGAGAAACTGTAGAGAGAGAAGGGATTCGTTTGGTGGCGCTCGGGGGCGGTGGTTTAACGAACTACACCAACTAAGACAGTTGGGAGTTATTATGGCACATTGAGATGGTCTGGTTGGGAGTTATCATGGCACATTGAGATGGTCTGGTGCGGTTCGGAATATCCTAATTGTGGCTAGTGGGCCAATCATCTTCTCTTCTCCTACTTTCCTTTCTTTTAACCTTTTAAAATTTGTTTGTAAAATAAATTAATGTTATGTTTGGCATATCAAATTTGCTCTTTGAATTTGGAATTAGGTAAAATTTAGTTAAATATTTTATTTTAAGTTTAAAGTTTCGATTCGGTGTTCAAATGTAATATAAATATTTTCTTTCAAATTATAAATTGACCAGCTGTTTATAAATTTATTCATTAAGGAAATGAATAAGTTCAATCCCAACTTTTAAGTTAGTTTAATTGGACTTGAATTGTGGAGACCAATGAATACTAAGTTTGTGTAAATTTATAAATAACTGAGTTTGTGTACGCTTCTTTATATTCATAATCTGACTTGATGTAGGTCTATTTTTTATTTGTTATATTTTCATGAGAAGTACAAAATTGTATTATATAACGATTTACGTCTTAATTTGTTATTGTAATTATTTTAAATGGACTAATTAATATTTGATAGGAGTTGCAATGGATCCTAAACGAATATGGAATTGAGCCTCAACTTGTTTAAATGAAAAAATCAACCATAAATCGAGCTTTTCAAAAGCATTAAAGTCTGAACTATCTTTTTGAATTAGTCATAGCTGAGCTCGAGTCGAGCTCACAAATAAATGTGCAAGTCCAAATACACTGATCGACTCTACTTAGCTCATTTGCAATTATATTCTCAATATTTAGTTCTTTTTAGAATTTTCAAATTTTTAATGATTAAAAATCTTCATTTCATTTTATGCAAAACAAACCTATCAAAGGCCCTATCTCGGTGGCACTTTCTCGCAATTCAAAGTAGAGTACAACAACAAGGGTTAAGGAAAGGACGCTCAGGTTGGTTGGAATCGCTATATAATCTGTCTCCGCCATTCCTGAATAGCTGGTGGCTAGAAAATAGTTTCGTCTGGCCTTTCATCCATATATATATATATATATATATATATATATTTATTTATTGGAAGGTAAAGCAAACACACATATTTTTTTGCTCACGTCCGAGTTCAAACCCCTCCCCTCTTCTTTGAAGGTAAGGAAGTTATATCATTAGGTCAAAGACCCTTTGGTAATCCATATTTATATTGGATGCGTAAAGGAGTGCTATCTCAAATCCTATCTATATACAGTGACTGATTTTCCCACGTAAAAGGTTTCTTTCTTATGCGGTTACAGCCTACAGCTCCCGGAGGAAGTATTATCACAACGAGAAAGGCTAGTCGACTATAAGGCTTATAGAAAGTGATAGGGAAAAATATAAACCTACCATACCCTCGATAAGATTGATTAGATTTCATTATCAAGAATAATGAAATCAAATCTGACATGGTTCAACAAGTAAGAATAATCCTACTATAACTAGAGGAGGCCAAAAGGATTAAATCATATCCCGACAAATCTGGTAATAAATCTCCTATGATTTCACACAAGTGGAAGATAGGGTCAACCATCAATATCAGCGGAACGATTTTGATTCCAATCGACAGCCATAAATAGGGCATCAAGCCATTAAAGAAGGTACGACGTAAAAATTATTATTAATTCCTACCTTCTTTTTAGACCTCCGTGACTAATTTGATCGTCGGAGAGCTCTTGGCAGGCACCATACCGGTGCCGTCAAGGTTCATCGATCTTCTCCTCTCTTCCTTGCAGGAAAACGGTATCGTATCGGACTGCGCGAATTTCAGCCTCAACAGTTGGCGCCGTCTGTGGGAATGACGATTCCCTTGAATCAATTAATTACTCGTTGGGTATATACGTTTGCAGTCCGGTATGGTTACCGAAGGAACACCGTCGCAGGGATCTGGTCAAAGGGTAGAGTCGGGTGAAAACCTAAACGTCCCAAACGACCAGGCACAGCTTGTAGCGTTGGAACTACAGGTTCAAACTCTGAGTCAGGGTATGAACCAGTTGATCCAGCAAAATGCAACGCTCTTGCAACACCTTGTTCCACCGGCTCAACAAAACTTTCCAGGATAAGATCTCTCAAGTCTAAACGGAGGTAATGAAAATCTTGAAGAGAGGGATAATCATTCCCCCCAAAATGAGACTGAAGTGGAACAAAGCCAGGTGGGAACCCGACATAGAGAGGTGGTTCACCTATCTCTCCTACGGAGTTCCCAACCTCCTGAAAGCATAGCCTTTTGTCTTAAGGAAAAGACAAAAAAGGTTACCCATCTCGACTTGCAGATCAAGGATCTCAAGGGGAAAATGGAAGATGTAATGCAGGCTATGAAAGGGAAAGGTCCTGCCGTCGTAGATGACCTGGTACAAAGGACCAACTTGCCTTTCAGCCCCGCCGTTATGAAATGTCCACTACCGAGCAAGTTCAGGATGCCCTTGTTCGAAAGCTTCGATGGGACCAAAGATCCCCTCGATCACCTGGAAACTTTTCAAGCTCTTATGCAGTTACACGTTGTGCCAGATGAAATCATGTGCCGAGCTTTTCCCACTACACTTAAGGGATCAGCGAGAGTTTGGTTCAACAAGTTGAAGCCAGGAACCATCAACACCTTCGAAGAATTGAGTAAGCAGTTTGTGAGCCACTTCATTGCAGGTCAGAGGCATAGGAGGCCGGCTACCTACCTGTTTACCGTGGAGCAACAAAAGGAAGAGTCGATTCGGGAATACATCACCCGATTCAACGCAGAGATGTTGCAGGTAGAAGAGGCGGACGATAAGGTAGCTTTGACCCTTTCATAGGAGGACTCCAAACCTCCAGATTCTTGTTCTCCTTATCAAAAGAACCTCCCACCAGTATGATAGAGTTGCTAGTCAGAGCGCAAAAACACATCAAAGCTGAAGACACCATGAGTGCACGGAAGGAAGGAGAAGACAAGAAGAGGCCAGCCCCTCTCGCCAGGGATGAAAATAATACCAAATATAAGAAATCGCTCTTCAGCCAGAGTGACAGCACATATCATGAGGATGACTCAGATGAGTATACCGACTAGAAATTGTCTCGCGGCTGGAATTAGCCTTATCAAGTCATTCACAATAAAGACTGGGGGCATCTTAGTTAATCATTTTAAATGGAGGGTAGCTCCATCACGTGTTATTTTGTTTTTAATAATGATGGTCTTTAATAAAATTCCTTTTAGTTTATACGTGCAGTATCCCCGTACTATAAGGGATAATAAATGAGTGTCATGTATTACAAGGACCCGGGCTGAATGAATCTCGTAATCCGTATCCCCGTACTATAAGGGATAGTAAATGAGTGTCCTGTATTACAAGGACCGGGGCTGAATGAATCCCGTAATCCGTATCCCCGTACTATAAGGGATAGTAAATGAGTGTCCTGTATTACAAGGACCCGGGCTGAATGAATCCCGTAATCCGTATTCCCGTACTAAAAGGAGATAGTAAATGAGTGTCATGCATTACAAGGATCCGGGCTGAATGAATCCTGTAATTCGTATCCCCGTACTATAAGGGAATAGTAAATGAGTGTCATGTATTATAAGGACCCGAGTTGAATGAATCCTGTCATCCATATCCCTGGACTATAGGGGATAAGTATCTTGTATTATCAGGACCCGGGTTGAATGAATCCCGTAATCCATATTCCTGTAATATAAGGATAATAAATTAATGTCCTGGACTACAATGACCTGGGTTGGATGAATCCCATAATTAATATCCCCTTACAATAAGGGATAGTAAATAAAAGTCATTTATTAAAGAAGTGAGCTAAGTAAAACTCGTAAAGTTCAATTCCCTTACTAAAGGGACAAAACTCGTATAATTTATTCCCTTATAAAAGGAAAAGTACTGTTCCCTCGGGTGAAAAAAAAAAAAAAAAAACCCTGAGTTACTATTCACATGAATAGTGCCCGCGGGTACTGTTCACCGGGGTTGGAAAAAAAATATTATTATTATTATTATTATTACTATTCATGAATAGTACCCGCGGGTACTGTTCATGCACAGTACCCGAGGGTACTGTTCCTTCGGGTGCCAAAAAAAAAAAAAAAAACACCTATTCAGGAACAGTACTCCCTCGTGTGCAAAAAAAAAAAAAAAAAAATCCGTAAGTTACTATTTATGTGAATAGTACCCGCGGGAATGGTACCCGCGGGTACTGTTCACCGGGGTTGAAAGAAAAAAAAAAAAAAAAAAAAAAGAAAAAGAAAAAGAAAAAGTATTATTATTATTTATTACATTCACAAAGCTAGACGTGCAAGCTTGGGAATGGGGGGCAACTGATAGGGAAAAATATAAACCTACCATACCCTCGATAAGATTGATTAGATTTCATTATCAAGAATAATGAAATCAAATCTGACGTGGTTCAACAAGTAAGAATAATCCTACTATAACTAGAGGAGGTCAAAAGGATTAAATCATATCCCGACAAATCTGGTAATAAATCTCCTATGATTTCGCACAAGCGAAGATAAGGTCAACCATCGATATCAGCGGAACGATTTTGATTTCAATCGACAGCCATAAATAGGGCATCAAACCATTAAAGAAGGTACAATGTAAAAACTATTATTAATCCCTGCCTTCTTTTTAGACCTCCGTGACTAATTTGATCGTCGGAGAGCTCTTGGCAGGCACCACACCGGTGCCATCAAGGTTCATCGATCTTCTCCTCTCTTCCTTGCTGGAAAACGGTATCGTATCGGACTGCGCGAATTTCAGCCTCAACAGAAAGAATAGCTGGTTAATGTCCCTAACGAATATAGACACTTGCTTAATTATGACAATAGCCTTTTCTATGGAGTAAAGACCGCTGGGTGCTACATATTTTCAACGGGCTAAAGTTCACCAGGGATCGCGATCGTGTTTCAAATGGAATACATCGATGGATCTTCTTCAACGTGCTCTCGTCATTTGGGTGCTTGAGACTCAGAACTTTTCTTTGTTTTCGGTGGATGTTGTTGCTTGGAGCTCCCTGGGGTTAATGGTCTATTGATATCAGTGTGGTCACTCAGGCCGATAAGGCCACTAAGGCGGTCACCTGAGACCTCCAATTTGGAAGGCCTCAAATTTAAGTACCATAATGTAATACAGTCGTACGTGTCTTATATATCACTGCTTCCTGTAATTGTAACTAACCTTTTAATAAACTAAAAGACATCCATTTTAGTCTATAATTTCCATAATTAAAAGACAATTCACAATTATATATCATGTAAATTTATGGCAATAAACAATTACTTATAATATCAATTTATATAATATAATATAATATAATATAATAATTTGTATGGTAAAAATAATTTGTCTCTATCCCTTTCCATCAAAAAAAAAAAAAAAAAAAGAAAGAATTTTTTTATATTTAAACAATAATTTGATTTATTTTATTATTATACTAGTTTTTGGCTCACGTACATGCATGATAGTTAAGCCCGATTCAAAAAATCAAATTTTTAACTCATGGATGCAATAATTGTCAAATTTTTATCTCATCCCAGTTCAAACAACAAAATTAGGTCAGTGATTAGAGTACTCTAATTTATAATTTTGGATCTCAAAATGTAAGACGGTCACATTTTCTTTGATATGAAGTTGAATTTTGATTTTTCTAAGTAAGTTGTGTCGAATATTTTTAAATTTTTTAATATAAATTGGAATGTACTCTTTATAAAGTACCAAAGTCGATATTTGCTTTGTGTGTTTTAAACCTTAATACATTTTATGTGTTTATCGTATGATTTTAATGTAAATTTCACACTCATATAAATTTTGTACTCATATGAAACCTTATGTATAAAGGCCTCGCATTTGAAAATTCACCTATGGCCTTTCAAAATGTAATGTCTGTAAATTAAAAAGAAAAAGAAAAAGAGAAAAGAAAAAAATTTTTGGTGGGTCCCACCACTAAGCCTTAAGTGGTTAGAGACCATTTTTGGTCTCTCATTCTTTCTCTCTCCCCGTATCTATCTCTCTCTCTCAATTTTCTATTTCATTTTCTTTTCTTTTTCAACCTAATCTTTGAGGCAAGATTTCTTCTTCGTTACTTGGCGGATTTAGGTGCCATTTGAGGCAAAACGACGAGCTCTACGTGCTAGTACCAGAAATTTCAACTTTTGGTCCTCTTTGGGAGCTCGAATTTAAGAACCCATTTCTACAGATTTTGGTCATTTTGAGGTAAGGGCATCTTAATCCACTCCTTTCTTGTTCTATTGTGAATTACACCTCCTTGTTGTGTGAAACATATTTAATTGAAAGTTAATTGTATCTATGATTGTATGAATGATGTCTAAAGAATTTTCAAGAGCTTGATTATGACTTGTTTCATGTGTAAAGTATGTTTAGATGTTGTTTTATCATACCCACTATGTGTTAACATGCTAAAAATGACTAATGAGAACATGTTTATTTAGATTGTGCCAAATTTCTCATTGTCATAATATTGAGATTATATGTACATTCATGCACATGTCATTGGGATGCATGAAATGGGAGAATTTGTCTTGAAATGAAAATAGGGAAAATTTTGGGAGAAGAGTTTTGTCAAATAGTTTTGATAAACCCGGTCGCTGCGGGGTTACCAACGGGCGGGAGGTTAATATAGCCTAGAGGGGACTAGGGAGTCGCCCAAGCGTGGTTAAGCTATTCGGGCCCCTCGATGACGCTCCAGGGTTACCAAAGATCTAAGGACGATAGCCAATTCTCCTCTCGTGTCGCGGCGGGGTTACCAAAGGGCGGGCTGTATTAACATTTGAAAGTGATGGTTTTGTAAATGAAAATGGGGAGTGTCATTAGCATGCATTACATTTCATTGCACTGCATGGTTTATAATTGGAATTGACGTACATATTGTTTTAATTCCCTATATTGCATGAAATCTATTTCCCATTGGTCTATGCTTTGTTTGGATTCACAAGGACACAAGAATTGTGTCTTAAGTGTCACCGACTAAGCTTTATGCTCACCCTACTATTTATATTATTTTTTTTCAGGTCTTGGAAATGAACCGGTGGACGACAATCCACTTCAAGCTTGAAAGTTGTTAGCAGGTTATTTGCTATTTTGTATTTTGACCGTTTTATGTATATTCATAGTTGTGGGAATGTAACTAAGTTAGTATGCATGGCCTTGTAACTTAAGAACGAACTTATCTTTTGTTTGATGTAAATGAAAGTAATGGAATTATGGTGTATGTTTCCATGAAATTGTATCATGTAACGTTGTAAGATAGGGACTTTAAATCTTAACCATGTATTTTGGAACTGTAATTATGATAATTTAGATTAATTGGTGTGTGAATGTTCCACTATGACAGGAACTATGTTGAGATATAATGAACGTATAAATGGGATGCTTGATGATATTATGTGTTTTGTGTATTGGGACAGGTTGTTGAAGGCCCATTTTTAGGGGAGGTTATGCTGAATTTTTTTAAAAATTTTGGCATCAGCTAAGGTCGTTACACAAAATTTTGGAAATCTCAGGGCTGGCCCTGCGGTCATTGGTGATAACGCATGCTGGTCGTGGAGCATGGAGGTCTGCAACTTGGGTTCGCTGGGTTGCCGTATCCCGGAGTTCTGTGATGAATTTGCCAAAATCATTGGGCATCGTTGCTCGGTTTTTTATCATGGAAGCTTCTAGTCGTCATCTGTGGTGCTCGCCAGGTCACGCTCCGGTAACCTGGTTGATCGACAGAAAAAAGGCAGCGACCTTGGGTCATTGCTGATGAGGAAGAAGCAACGGTACACAACGACTAGTCTAACGACCTTGGTTCATTGCTGATGAGGAAGCCAGCTGCGACCTGGTCTAGTCGCTACCGACGGCAATTGGTTTCATTGTCGGTAGTATGCTTGTTGTCGGCAATGATGATGAAGAAGGAAAAAAAGAAAAGAGAATAAAAGAGAGGCGCTTTAGTCATTTCACATTCAATTATTATTATTTATTTTTTTATTCATTTACAAATGAATAGTTTAGTCTTTTCAGTATTCAAGTTCTTATTTATTCCAAAATTAAAAGTTTATACACTCTATATGCATACCATAAGAGTATTTTTTACTCGTGACCCTTATATAACATATCAAGTTTTTAGAATTTAAATTAGAATCAATTTCTCCCATCTTCCAAATGTTTAAGTATTTTATGAATAACTTTTAGATTCAAATATACATAAGGAAATGGAAAGAAAAGTAAAAGAAAAAACCTTTTTACATGGTAAATTAATTGTATAACAAATCAACAGTTACCTTGAGATAGCCTCCCTTGCGCTGTGTAACGGGTGGGCGCTTACCCATTTACCCAAAAGCTCGAACTGTTAGGTAAGGCTGCATACCCACCCATTTATACCCAATCTCTTTCCCATCCGATTCCGATGTGGGACAATCACCCTTGTTACATTCTCCCCCACCCAAACTCGCAACGCCCTCGTTGCGGTTGAGCCACCCTGCTTACCCGGGTGGATTCACCCGGACGCCTTCCGGGCCGGGCGCTTGGCGTGACACCGGATCAAGGACTGGGTTTGGCTCTGATACCAACTGTAACGGGTGGGCGCTTACCCATTTACCCAAAAGCTCGAACTGTTAGGTAAGGCTGCATACCCACCTATTTATACCCAATCTCTTTCCCATCTGATTCCGATGTGGGACAAAATCACCCTTGTTACACGCTGTTTCCATGGATACTTACAGGACTTCCCTTCGGGAAATTGGGCCAGTGAATTGGAGTTTCTTGCCTTTGAGCCCAAATCATTTGATTATTTGGGTTTAAAGGCCCAGTTATTTATCATACATTCTGTATTTTGGGCCTTACTAGTATTGAACCCATTTTAATGCATTTCTGTGTTTTTCAGCCTAAGTTTGCGTACATTTATTTTCCCCTCATATACTAATCTATTCAACTCGAAAAACAAATTAAAATTTTTTTACAAAAAAAAATATTTTTAGAATCAAGCACATGAAATCTATGTTTTATGGACGCTCTAAGAGGCCCGGAATCATTATTGTTGGAAAAAAATATTATATTTTAATTTTTTTTTTCCAACAATAATGATTCCGGGCCTCTTAGAGCGTCCATAAAACATAGATTTCATGTGCTTGATTCTAAAAATATTTTAAAAAAAAAAAAAATTTTTGTTCAGTCACGTTGTCACTTAACCAATTTATTCTCTTATATTTCATTACTAAGTTTATATGTTAATTTTATTTCAAAGAAAGGACAGAGGAAGGATGAGAAAGATGAGTGATAAAAGAAGCTTTGGTTGAAAAGAAGGAAAGAGAGTCCATGTTTATGGAGGGAAGAGAAGAGGGAAATAATAAAAATTACCCCACTTTATCTGATCAAAGGCCCTTCAATTGAAAGGTACAAGTAAGCAATGGTAGAGTTATTATTTTCTTAATATACTCTAAGTTTGTGCAAAATTACTCTTAAACTTTGTTGAATTTCTTTGCACATATAATTAGGGTATATTAGTAAAAATATTTTAAAACTCTTATTTCTTTCCAATCAATCCACAAAAAAACAAAAAAAAAAAATTTCAAACTATCAACCCATCCACTCTTTCAACTATCCCTTCCATTCACAAACAAAAATAAGAGAACACCTTCTCACGGAATCAAGAATGCCTCAGACGGCCCTCATCCATACCCCCGTCTTCCATCCTCTTTTTCATCTCTCTAATCAGACGGAGCATTAGTATGTAAAAAATAAATAAATAAATAACAAAAAATTAGAAGTCAATTAGCTTGCGAAACTGGGTTGGGCTTCAAAGTAATTTTAAAATTTCAAGAATGTAGAGAGGGTTTATAAATCTTATCAGCCCGCCTTACTTTCTGGCCCAAACGGCCCATATATACTGATTATAAACCCTATCACACTCGCTCTTTTTCTGTCCGGCGCACAAACCCTAGCTAGCTCCACGAGATCTGCCGCCCCAGAGACTCGAGCAACAGTCATGGAGACTGCGAGCACTGTGAAAGACGTTTCGCCTCATGAGTTTGTCAAGGCTTATGCCGCTCACCTCAAGCGCTCCGGAAAGGTAACTCTCTCTCTCTATCTATACATGCATATGTATATGAATTATGTATAAGTATATGTTTAGACTGGAAGCTCGAACAGTATCGTTTGATACAGAGATAGTTGTGTTTAATGTTTAGCTCATTACGACAAATGGTATACAATGGTGTTTATAGTCACTTTAATTGAATGGATTGTTGTTTACATTTTATATTGCTGTGGTAAATCGTACATGTATGAGATTTGGGTGTTTATGTTTTGTGCTTGTGATGTAAAAATTTTTATATCTGTGTTTACATTTTATTATTAGAATACTAGTGTAAATCGCTGTAATCCTATTATGAATATCGTTTGTTTTTCCTTTTATACTACCTTAACTACTATTTTACATGTATGTGTTACTGTTGTTCCTTTCTGATATGCGCGTGGAGGTATATTCATAGAAATAAATTGGAAATTTGTGGTTTCAGTAATTGTGCTGTTTGCCCCTATTCTACTTGGCCCAGATGGTTCAATGAGAGCATGCGAAGACATCTGGGATCATAAAATGGTGACAATAAGTACACCTTGATTGTGACCCTAAGCATAGATCCACTGTTCTTCGTTTTTTTGAAATGATTGAAGGATACATACTGGGAAATCAAGTCTTCTCTCAAGAAGTTTCCCAAAACTTTGGTTGATACGAAATATTTACATCCGATTTTGGAAACCTGCAGAGAGACTGCATCTTATTATTTTGAGTTATTCATGAAAAAAATAGGTGTGGGTGTTTATTATTTGGATTCTTTTTGTCCCATGTCTTGTTATTGTGATTTCTCAAAACAAGTCTGTCAACACAACTTAGATTTTATTCTTTTGTTATTTCATTGCTCCAACTGCTGGATTTGGTTCCAAGATGATGAATGTATCATGGCCGTAGCATGATTTGACCGGCCTCCTTAGCCTGATTTTTTGAATTGCGACTCTAATGTCTTCTTTTCTTGTTGGGAAGTGAGCATGTGGAAGTTCATTTTTTTGAACACGTCTATTGTTTGTTGCCTCATCAGTATGACAACCCCATTTCTGTTGCAATTAAATGATTCTACTACCAGTGGTTCTATATCTTTATAAAAATAGAATGTGTCTAGTCACCATGGTCACATCTTTTTTTTTGTCTCTCCAATGATCAACGTTTGAAGCAGAAGAAGCTCATGTTAAATAAATATAATGAGGAGATCCTGTCTAGTATTATGGTAGCAAGATGGTAAAATGTTGGTCTAAGTGGTTTGCAGGTGAGGGGTTAAATCAGAATCCATGTCTTATTAAAAATTTTGAAGTGTAGCGAACCCACTATATGGGTATGAATCTTATAATCTATGGTCTAAAATTTGAAAAAAGTAGAAGAGTAACCCCATATATATGTCTTTGTATATCAATATTTTTTTACTTTCTCCAGATAACTAGTGTAACCGACTACTACAGATACCTAATGACTAGCACCTGTTCTTGAAAAATTATGATTTGATCATGGTGGATTCCATCTAAGGCAGTAATGTGAAACTCTGGAGACAGCATTGCATTCTCTTTAACCTTTGTGGGGTACTCTTTTGGTTGCAATAAAAGTAACTTGACTTCATTTTGCTAGACTTGAGATAGCTATAGGTAATGTGCACCTGTTTGGTGACTACGAAAATGTACATATGATATGTAAGGGTAGCCTATTGTATGGCATGATCACCATGTTTTGTTTTTATCTTAAGGATGATGCTGGTTCCATTCTCATGTTACCTATTTTCCTTGTTTTCCGCTAGATGGAGCTTCCTCATTGGACTGATATAGTGAAGACTGGCACATTCAAGGAGCTTGCGCCTTATGATCCTGATTGGTACTACATCAGGGCCGGTATGTTGTTTCTTCTTCTTCATCATCATCATCAAGACACATGCAAAAATATTATGGGCGTTTCTGTATATGTGCTTATTCCTCTTTCACTATTTCTTATGGCAGCTTCTATGGCAAGGAAAATTTACTTGAGGGGTGGTATTGGTGTTGGTGGTTTCCAGAGGATCTATGGTGGTAGCAAGAGAAATGGCAGTCGTCCACCCCATTTCTGCAAGAGCAGTGGCTCGATTGCTCGTCACATACTTCAACAGCTGCAGAATATGAATATCATTGACTTTGACCCAAAGGGGTGAGTTTCTTTTGTATATGTTTTGGTTTTACGGTCCATTGCTGTCCTCGAGGATGCCATTGTCTTGCATTGTTGTGGATTTGTCAAAATATTATTTGTTCATTGCTCTTGCATGGAAAGGGCAGAATTATTCCACTTGAGGGGATACAATATCCCCATAATATTCTTTATATGTAAAGAATTGCTTGGTCCAACCTTTTAGCGTTCTTCATCATACATTAAAAAAAAAATTTATTTTCCATATACTTTGAAGTTTATGCAGGCTTGGAGATAGTGGCCTGATATTTTACATTTTTTTTTTTTTTTTTGGATTTAGATTATTTTTCATGTCCCTTTCAACGAAAAAAATCTGCTTTCTAGTTTCTTAAAAACTGCAAATGACAAAAACTAAAGTGCATTTTAAATTATTGAACCTTTTCATTTTATTAATCTTCGGCTGCATAAAGAACATTGGGGTACTCCTATGAGAGAAAAGAATGCACCATGACAAGATGTTAACAGGCTTACAGTTACATACCCTCTGCCTGTCTAAATCACTGAAAGGTCTCATTTTGGTTCAATAATTAATGTTATGAGAATTTGATGTTTGTTTTACTAACATTTCAAATTAATGTTATTGTGTCGAATTTTATTCAAGTTTTGACGGAATGTTGTGTAGTAGAATCTTTCACATTATACCAAATGTTAATATTCACTATACTTTCCATGTGCACGAATCAGTGGGAGAAAAATCACATCCAGTGGCCGGCGAGATCTTGATCAAGTTGCTGGAAGGATTGTGGTTGCTCGTTGAGACCGGTGGTAGCAAGCAGGCAGTGCTATGCATACATCAAATACTAGATTTATGATTTTTGTGTGTTTGGAACATGAAAGATTTGTAGCTCTATTAATTTCTTTTGGAACATGAAAGATTTGTAGCTCTATTAATTTCTGTTTGTGTTTGTTTGCATGTACTTTGGGAATTGCTGAGGCTTTCTTGATTTAAGATGCGAATTGTAAGTGTTGGTATTTTATGTTGGTTAGTTTCCATATATCTGAAACTATGACATGATATTCGCTTGGTTGATTAGGTTATTGGCCACCGGATACCCCAGATAAATTAGTGGGTGTCCAATCGCAGCACCCTATTTCCTATTATCAAGTTATTCAATAACACTACCCAGGGTAGTATATATTTTTCCGTTACAATCAAAACATTCCCTTTCCTATTATCAAGGGAAACGGGGCTGTTTAAGTTGGCCTTATTATTGGAAATTTCCTGTGTGTAGAGGCTTCTCTGCAAGTTCAGAGTTTTCTCGCGTTTGTCAAGACGTCATGGCTAGAGAGGGGATCTATGATTGGATCTGTTCCTCGTCTTCTCGCGCTTCCTGGTTTTCTTCCATCATGGGATCATGTGGGTTTATTTCATGGGACTTGCTATTTACATATGTGGGTGTGGCCTCAACTCTCCACCTGGGAATTCATGATTGTTATTCCCTTATTTTCTGATCCCACTTCCTCTGTTTTGGGTTTTTCTTATTGTCATCGTCTCCCCTATTGGACCTCAAATCCTTTTGATCCAGAGATGGCTTCCATCTGACCATGTGGATTGTTTGATGGGGGGGCTTCATGTGTGTTGTGGGCTATTTAATTTGGATTCCTGCCTGTTGGACGGGTTGTGTTTCCAATTCTGCTGCCTTTTCCTTTTGATCTGGTTGCTATGGTCTATGGACCGTGGTTTAATGTTGTTGCACTTCTTGGACCAGATGCCAAGCTTTGGGGGGGGGGGGGCGGGGGGGGTTTTTGTCGTTCGGTTTATATGGTTTTGTTGGCAATTTTGCAGCTCCTCAATTGCCGAGGTCCTTACCGTTTTTCAATCAACTGTTCCAGCTTTGTCATTGTTTGGGTCTCCCGGTGTGTAATCCATGTATCTTTTGGAGACACTGGCCGGAGGACTCCTTCCTTATAGCGGAGGTGACGTTGAAATTCGGTTGGGTGTGGTGTTTCCCCATTCCTCTTATGTCCTTTCATGGCATATGGTGGTACAGCTTTTGGCCTCAGTCCGGATCACTTGGTCAACAAGTTCCAAGTTCTCAGTTGGGATTTCGGCCATTAAATTGTTTTCTCCAGTCGCTTGCCGGAATCTTTTACACAGTCGTCCTTGTTGCACTGTATGAAGTTAGTCTTGGAATTTGGAGTCATGATTGCCCTGATGTTGTGGGTGACGCTGCAGGTTTCTTGCGCAGAGTTTTGCGTCATGATTGCGCTGACGTGGTTGATGATGTTGTGGTGTGTTGCTTAAGCTGGGAGTGATGCTGTTGGGATTTATATGCCCTGGCATAGCAAATTCCTGTTTGAATTAATTGACATATGTTCCTGACGTTTCTGAAATATTTATGTTTTATACAATTAGTGAATTCAATGTATTATATTTCGATTCATTATAGAATTGATAGTGTCCATTTGATTACAAGAGATATTTATATATATGTATGTGATGACAATCAATGCATGATATATAAATAGTAATCATAAATTGTTTATAGTCAGTAATTATGGATGGACTCATAATTAATTAAGACTTGAACTAGATCCGCGTTAGGTTGAGATATATTGCGAGAGCCGTCGTATGCAATTGCTCCCTATCACCGTCATAGCATTTGACTCTTAAGCATGAGAAAATTATAGACTCTTTTATTAATTAATAATTACTTCGATTTGTTCGGCGGATTCTTCGGGATCCTTAGACCGACACTTTGGGTAGTTATGTGATTAATAGTTAGAGGGTTATATTTTCAATATTTGCATCATTGCTACTTGTATTTATTTTGTATTGATTATGGTTGATCACAAAGTAAATTCGAAGGCCTTCGTATGATTTTAGACAAAATGATTTATTATATATTTATTTATTAAATTATTATTTTTGTCAAACAAATGTTTTATTGTGATCGAGCTAGATATAATCAAAGGTACCAAAATAAATATATTAATTAAGTAGTCGGATTGATGGCATTATTTATCCGATAACTAATTATGCATAGAGGGGTCAAAGTGTAACATTGACTTAGAGGTTATTTATTATTTAATTGGAGTTCAATTAATTTCTTTTAGTGGAGTAGAAATTAATTTATGAATTAATTGAATTGGGTCCATGGACCGGGCCAATTATTAATTCATTGTAGCCAATAAAATAATAGGCCCAATGGATTCTCACTCATAGCCCAACTTGATATTGGAATCATATTAGATTTGAGACATATGAATTAGAGATGGAGAAGGATTTGTTGTTTCCTTTTCTTTATTTTTATGTTGCCTATAAATATACATGGTCTATGTATATTTTAGGGGTGATTTTTAATGAGAAGGAAAAAGGAATTTATTTTCTCTCTCTAGAAAATTAGGGTTTATGTTCTTATCTAATGGAGGCTCCCACAAGCCTAGTTTTCCAAGGTCATTCATGGAGGCTTATGAGTGATTCCTAAAGGCAAAACAATTACCAAGAAGATGGAGATCCAAGAAGAAGGCATCTTGCTAAGGGATCTACAATAAGTGAGAATATTCACTTTAGAGGAAAGTTTTAAAGGTTTACTCAGACCTTTGATGTAAGTATTCAATCTGTTAATTGAATGATACATCATATTTTTATTTTTGCATAAAACTTGTCTCTACGTAATGAATCAAGATCTATGAATCAAAATCCCTCGAAAAGTTTTTAAAACTAGCACGTTTCCCAACAATGGTATTAGAGCATGGTTTGATTTATTACTAGAGATCATGTTTTTATCAAAATTCATCATTCATGGATCCAAAATTATATTCATATATATTTTTATTGATGTATGTTGATGTATGATTTAATATGTTGATATATATTGATACATGATGATGTATGGATAATTGTGAATGAATGATGATGTATGGTTCGGCCATGGATGAAGCTTATAGGAATATTGAATGTAATTTTATCTTTGGATGAATGTAATTAAGGCTTTGATTTAGCCGTTTGAAAGTTCAATGATGTAATTTATTTTTCCCATTGTATTTCAAGTTGTAAATATTTTTAAAGCCATGTAATATTCATCAAAGGATGCTATGAAGCTTCAAGAAGGTCCAAAAGGGTTAAATTATGCTTCAGTAATTTTCTGTAATTTTTCTGAATTTTTTGGAATTTTTCTGGAATTTTTTTAGGCTTAATTTAATTTTCTCGGAATTTTTCTGATTTTTTTGGAATTTTTCGGCGTTTTTCCGGTGGCTGGAGCATCGCCGGCGGCGAGAAGAGGCGTCGGAGGAGGCTGGAATCAGATGTGGTGCATAGGAGGTGAGCCTGACGCGTGAGGAACATGCGCCAGGAGGTGGCATATGCTAGCGCGTGCATTGCACGCGCCAGCCAAGGTTGTATGGCCTCCACGCGCGTGCAGGCGGGTCCCACGAGCCCCACGCGCGTGCTAGCGCGTAAGGGCGCGTGCCTTCACCTGCAGCATGCCCCAGGCGCGTGTGAGCGCGTGTGGGGCTCTCCAGGCGCGTTCCAAGCGGTGTTTTGCTTCTCCTGGTGCGTACCAGCCTTATGTGGGTGTTTGCAAGCCGATGGATGATCTTCCCGCGATACTTAGAGTAGTTAAATGTTAAAAGCTGATTCCATTGGCCGTTTTATTTGTTTTATCTGTTATTTATTTATTTATGCAATGTATGAAATGCATGGAATATATAATTGTTAATTAATTATTATTCATGCATTGGATCCATGATATTTATTTAAATGGCTTGATTTATATTAATTAAGTTATGAAAATTAATTGGATCTGATTACTAGTTAATTTGAGGGCACTTATTGGGAAACGCAAAATTATTTTTTTGTAAATTATTTTTTTTAAGTGTACTTCAAATTAAATATTAGTGAATCGTTTAAAGTCCAAATATTTTCTAAATTTAATTGGATTAAAATCAAGACATTTTGCATGCATTATATCATGTAAATGAATAAAATGAAAACTCTAATTATGAATGATTAAAAAATTGAGTGGGAGCGGGGATTTTTATACATTGCCCCATGGCCTTCGTTATTAATACCATTGTAATTAGATCTTCAAAAATAAGGCCCCACGCATGATTTGAAGAGTCTTAATATTACAAGAATGGTTATCTCATGAAAATAATAATATTAAATGTTCATTGTAATTAGATCTTTAAAAATAAGGCCCTACGCATGATTTAAAGAGTCTAGATTATAATGACAAGATATTTAATGTTTTATTTTTCATTAGAGCATTAATAATGTTATACACTCAATCTAAAATCAATAGTGTTAGCTCCCTAACGGAGTGGTCTATATTAGGTGATTTTAGAAAGGCTAAACATAATCGGGAATCATTTTATATAGATAGACAAGACATTGTCTTAAGAGATATGGAAATGATGGGATTTGCCCGCCAATAGCAATAATGAACTTCGTCAACCGAATAAGTTATTGGCGTATTGGTTATTCGATTTTTCATGCAATGGTTAAGGGACCCACATACTATTTTAATGGAAGTGCTCACCTAATAGTAGATGAATCTCAACAATAGTAATAATGAACTCCTCCAACAGGATAAGTTATTGACATATTGATTGGTTGATTTATTTTGCTACAGAGTTGAGGGACCCGCATTAATTAAAAGGGATTGTTCACCAATAATGATAATGATCTCTTGTTCGATTGAGATTTATTGTATTATGTGGTTAACAAGCTCATTTTAATTTTAAATATGCATGACAGTATTAATAATTCACCTTGCATATTGTATGAATGTATTTATATTCAGATTAATTATGTCTAATCCAGTTTATCTGCTTGCTTACATATTCAATGTAACTGGATCTTATTAATATTGACTGAGAAAGGAACTTAGATATTTTATTCATAACATAAGGGTACAAAATGTATTTAATACTCCTATACCTAATTCATTTACTTTAAGATACTTAATGAGATGTTTTAGTGAGATTAGATAGAGAGTATGCTAAAGTACTATATCAGACTTGAATAGCATCAAGATAGCCT